AAAATATATAATTTACATATCATGGATGTTTTTTTTCATCTTTGGTGCCTTCATCTTGGTGCAGAGGAGCTACATTCACAGCATAAGTAAAGGGGTCTAGTAGTTTGTGCATGGTAAGAAGTAGTTGTTCCCGAGKYRGCGGAACAATTTGCCGGTCAACAGGCTGTACTCGAACATGTTGGGTCCACTGTAGATGTAACCAAAACCTGCAGAGCACAGATGGTGGATGTTAGTTACTGTTTCAGGAAAAGTCTGGAAAGAATCAGAACTGTCAACATTTTCATTTTGTCTTGGAAAAGTATATACGAYTTTGAATTGCCGCTCACCTTRGTACTGGAAAGCTGCAGTCACCTTGCTGGTCAGTCCAGAGAAGATCTCATCAACTCTTTTCGGGAATCCCTGGTCCATAGTCTGCTTGGCATCATCGTAACTGAAGGAACATAGACAGGTATTAGAATGATTCACTATTTAAAGAGTCAAATTAACATCCTACCTAAGGCAGTCACAGAAATGAACACACCTGTAGTATTCCCTGCCGACAAAGAACAGAGRCTTGCGAGTGTGCTTATTGTAGAGAGCAGCGTCAACTTTCTCCATGGTTTTGGGCAGACCAAAACTAGAGATTGACTTTGGGTAGCCCTGTACAAGGTTATAGCCGCTGAACGCCCACACTTGGCGACCTGCGGAAGTGAAAAATCAAAAGAGAATATTTTTGAGTGAACATAAGTAAAGATAAATGATCTTGACTTGAAAACAGTGCGATATAGGAGCATTAGGTGGACACAAAGAACAAATACCTTTAAAGAAAAGCACACTATCTAAGAAACGGCTCTCATAAGCAGCGTCGATATTGACTGGGGCACGGCGCCAGAAGCTTGTGATGAGTCTCTGCTCAGTCTTGGTGCTCTCGAAGCGGTTACGCCAGAAGAATCTYAGGACCCACATTCAAATCAGAAATCAACTCACAGGTCAGATCTTAAGTGGAGAAATAAATATTCTTGACACACATCAGCATTTAGATATTTGAGCATTCAGCTACCTGCCCTTGAAGAAAAGATTRTCTCCTCTCAGGGTGGCAACAGCATCCAAGACCATGGTTGAATCACAGACATCAGGGGTGGTGGGGGGTGGAGGTCCAGGGCTAGGAACTATGTCAGGGTTTGGACCTGGAGGTAAAATAAAACCAAAGTCATATTGCGTGTGAACTCACTGACTTTTGTGAGCAAGTCCTCTATCAGGGATTTTGGCCAAATATTTGTGATCCAGCTAATACTAACCATAGAGAGACTGGATGCCTTTGACATCATCATGGGGCAGAACGAAGGTGTCAGGGTTACTGTKKGTGTATGTAGGGAACATGAGTGCACCAGGGTCAGTAGAGTGAGACAAGCCCAGGGAGTGGCCAAACTCATGGGCAGCTACCAAGAAGAGGATATAGCCTACAGCAGAGAACACAGATTTACAGGTGAGTTACAGCTTCAAGTCAAATACACTGATAGAGTATGAACTCTGTATGAACGGCAAACTCACCTGCATTGGAACGGAAGGTGAAGGTCTCATCATCATCAAAATGAGCATCCCCTCCGATGCCAGGAGACGGGGCGAAGGCGTGGGCGAGCGTGCCATCAGGGCCGTCAAAGGGGTAAAAATCTCCATGATCTGTGAAGAAGAAGCACATTCAGATTCAAAGCACTAACCTGTATATCTAACAAATGACAACAGTTTTTTTTCAAACGCATCCTCTGCATCCTGCTATCATTGATCAGCTGTCCAACGAGATTCAAGACTCAGCAAACACCTAGACCTATCAGTAAACTGACAGAGAGTCTGCTCCTGTTGCTTTTACACTCACTTAGGCGTCCAAAGGAAATCATGATGTCAGCGGTGCCACTGTAGATTCTCGTAAATCTCAGGGGAGTGACTTTGGCCCAAACCTGCAGGGCTCTCTCCACGGAGTCGTCCACCTCTGAGATGGTCAGATCAGGTGTGTAGTTCTCAATCCTGTAGGACGATAAAAAAAACAGAATAAGCTCAGTATCATCACAGGTTATGCCCACAGTTCTCTCTAACACATTCTTCAGATCCTTCACCTGTAGGTAAGGCTGTTTGTCTTCCACTTGAAGTTTTCTCCAGTAATGGAGTAACGGGCGATCTTGYCGTCTGGAACYCCACAGCGGGGCTTCTTCATCATGGCTATGGTGTCAGTGTCCAGATTCCCGGTGACTTTGAGGCGAAAGAATTTCTGCATCTCAGCCACCTTCTTGGTCAATGGACTGATCCCTCGTCTGACAGTTGGACCGCTCTCCTCTGTCAGGTTGAAAAATGTCTTCAGGTAGTTCTGCAAGAAAATACAAGTGTTAGATTCTTCATAGTGATGTGCATCAGTTGTACTGATCTTATTTTGTAGAATACTATACATGCATTAAGGAGCAAAGCAATTATACATACCTCTGCAAAACTCTCATCCTGACTTGTAACCTGTAATATTGGCACACAGTAAACTGCAGCTGCCAGGCTTAGTAGAATGCTCAGGGTGAAAGTCGTCATGATTCCTCGTTGAATTCACTGAACTACACTTGCTGGAGGCTGATGTTTTATAGGCTGGGGACTGGCCAGGTMGAGCAACTTACTTCTGGGGTCAGTYACTCATATRCCTTATATGTACAGAAGAGGAAGGGCAACTTTGATTGCTCATCCAACCAAAAWATTTCCAAAACAGACTCTGCAATTATGATGAAACGTCAGGTTTACTATGTATAACAGAGATTTTATTGTATATCAATGAAAAGAAAATGTTTTACAAAAAATAAAAATCATATAAAACAAACATTTAGAATTTTTAAGTCTGTATGTGCATCCAGAAMTGATTCAAAATGGAAACACTGAGGGGAGGTAGATGTTTGCATCGTAGAAACTGTAGATATTCATGTTAAAATGTATGAAAAATATATCCTAACTGACAAGGTGCCATAATTCCATCTTTTATGGCATATTGCAAAATATAATCAAAAACCCCATCATTTTGTTTTTAGTAACATACGTCTGGATCTACAAAAGTCATTAAAAAAATATTCTCAACATTAGTCCTTTTGTTTTGACCTCATTTTGTATTTAATCAAAAGAAACGCTTGACTAGTGATTGAAATGAGATAAATAATAGAGAAACAAAAGATCAATATCTGAAATAAAACATCCTTGGCAGAAGCAAAACCTGAAAAAGCATCTATTGTGCATCACACTGAAGGTTGGCATGCAATGGATCTAGATCACAATGTAAAATGAATGAAGATTCAGGGACCAACAGCTTTTTCTTTTCTCATATGTCGTGTATCATCACAGTGGAACTTGCCCAGTGCATATATTAATTACGTTTAGTTCCTTATTTCAGTTCTTTGTGGATTATGTTCTTTACTCTTTTCTTCAATAGTTGGACCTTACAATCACAACCTCTCTTCTCCTGACCTGACGCTGTTGTTGCCTCTGCCAAGCCTGTGGCGTCACGATGCCTCGTAAAAAGTCAAAAAATCATTTATTGTTTGACTTAATAAAATAAGTAGTTATGTTTGTGTGATGGAACAAAGCACATGCACTGATGGACTCAGATCATCCTTCCCTGTGATAACTACAGAGGCTACTTTATTATTTCCTATATATATAAGCAAATTCATTATTCCAACACAGAACTTTATTRATTAAWATACATGTTTCAATGCAGATGATAAAATCTTGTATCATTGATTTGATAGAAACATTATTTTAGTCACGGTGCTGTACTGTATATACGTTTTAATTGGGTTTTACTTGTTGGAAGAGCTGTGTGATGTGTCTGTAAAACTCCATCTACACTTCATACATAACAGTTAATGGAAAGCTACCGTGCTGTCACTGTTAGCTAATATTGGAGATTGACAAGAACGGTAATTATTTAATTGTGAAATGTATTGTCTCATGTAAATGAAGCAACAGCTGTAAAACCCAGAATCTCAGAAGGAATAAGCATGTGTTAATCAAAAAATATAACAATTCATTTTTAAAATGATAACAAATATAAACATTACAATGTTTTCCCCATAATCAGTYACCAATTAATTACAGTGTCATAGTGATGCAAACATGAAACCATAAAATACATGCATGCAACCTTATGGAGTAGAAGGAGCATGAGTAACATCAAGAAAAACTAGYAAACATATAAAGCACATTTTAATTTCTATGTTTAAAGTGACCACAACATGATTGCACACCCTTATTACAGCATTGTATGACACATTGGCACACATCCACTTCTCTATTATTCAACAGTTCCAAGGTAATTTGTTGCTAAATGGAGATTTGTAACTCTTCACTGACAGCAGACACACAGCATCATCACACATCAAGCTTCATAGAGCACCTCCCTTCAATCATCTCCTCTCCATCAGTATTTCATTGTTTCTTTGTCCCTGTTGCATTCCAGCACGTCGTAGGCAGGGTTTGTGGAGACAACACTTTTTGTGTTAGAGTCATATTTATAATGAACGTTTCCCTTGAAGATGTGCACAAATCCTGTGGGGAATCAAGYTTCATCATCAGGAATAATACAAATCAAGAGTATAATGTATATTATATAATGTGTAACCTTRTTCAACATCAGGATATTCTTCAAAGTAATGCCTGTGCTTTATTGGACAGGAACGCAACATCTTATATCTAAATATTCTCCTACTTTTAAAGGTCCAGTGTGTAAGATTTAGGTGAAAGGGAACTATTAGCAGAAATTTTGTTTAGAATAATCCCCATGATGTTTTCACTNTGTGGAGACAACACTTTTTGTGTTAGAGTCATATTTATAATGAACGTTTCCCTTGAAGATGTGCACAAATCCTGTGGGGAATCAAGGTTCATCATCAGGAATAATACAAATCAAGAGTATAATGTATATTATATAATGTGTAACCTTCTTCAACATCAGGATATTCTTCAAAGTAATGCCTGTGCTTTATTGGACAGGAACGCAACATCTTATATCTAAATATTCTCCTACTTTTTTGTGCTGAAAAGCAATCGAGCTCCACAGAGTCAGTGAGAACTGCACAGTAGATTTCTTCTGTTGCATTTAAAGGTCCAGTGTGTAAGATTTAGGTGAAAGGGAACTATTAGCAGAAATTTTGTTTAGAATAATCCCCATGATGTTTTCACTAGTTAGTTTCATCCAAATTGTATGAATTGTAGTTTTCTTTGCCCCAGAAAAGACCCTTTATATTTAAATACTTAAGTATTTACATTGAGGGGACCCTCTCTACAGAGGCCGCCATGTTTTTTACTTTAGTCCAGACTGGACAAACTAAACACCTTTTGAGTTTTTATGACAACTGAAGCTACCACAGGTTCTTTTTCATGTTTGGAAGGAGAGGGTGAGGTGAGGGGTGTTCAGCTGCAACATGCAASTTCAACACTTGATAWCTCTGTAAAACTTGCCCTTTAGAGTTAGATGAGAMGAGTCTGGTAATAAGGAAAGAATTGTGGGAGATTGTAGCACAGTACATACTTCCAACACTCATGGCCAGTGAAGAACACAGTGTAGTGGTCATTTCTGAAATGAAGAGCAGCATCTATTGATTTTATTCTGGAGGGGAAGCCCAAGTCTGAGATGTTTCTAGGAAAACCTTCCTCCAGTTTCTGCCGCTTCAGCATCCAGTACTGATGACCTGAAACAAAAACACTACTCTTACATATACACAGGTATTGAAGTATATACATTCTTTAGTAGAAAAAATGATCGTGTTGTTACCTTTGAAAAACACATTTACATTCCTCTCCCGATTCTCATAGACAGCATCCAAGAAGGGAGGTATAATGTCCGCCCACAGACTGCTAATGAGAGTGATCCCTGTCTCCTCAAACTGAGGATGTTTGCGCCACATGAATCTGAAAGGTCAGGAAGTTCTTTTTTTCATTATCCTTAGACCAAAGAAACACCAGATGTGAGTCGGGTTCTTTCATTATATACACACACTGGAAGAGTTTACATACCTGTCTTTGAAAAACAGGACCTCCTGTTGTAACTCTGTTACAGCATCAAAGGACAAATCTGGATCACATTTATCAGGTGTTCTCGGAGGKGGATTTTTTGAGAATAATGAAGCAAAACCGGGACTGATACCTGCAGCCCGGTAAAAAAAAAGATGAAAACACATTGCACTTGTTCCCAACACATTTCCTTCTAAGGTAAATTCAAATAATAGCTGCATGGTAAATGCAAGAATCACTTTCAAGACAAAATCTTGATTGCCTGCAAGTAGTACATTTTCACAGACAGAAGTAGATYATATAAACCTTTGAATTTAGATTTCAAAATAAATTGTTGATGCTTGACAAATTGCTTCACTGGTACTGAACAGATTTCAGCAYTATAATGATGAAACAGAAGGAGGATGCTGTGGTTTGTAGCTTATTCCCACGCCCCTGCAATGTGAACAAACACACAAAATTCTTATCTACACAAATGTGTCACAAAAGTGTCACCTGGCTAAACTGACAATATTTGTAATATGTAACGGGTCAAAAATAACCCAAATACATTTCTGCATTCAAATCAATCCAAGCAGTAAAAAAGGTGCTCCTGAAACCAGCTGAACTCACCATACAGGTGTTGGATGTCTTTGACATCGCGGAAGGAGAGCTGCGGCTCATAATTTGAGYCAAAGRTGTATGCTGGGTACATAATGGCTCCAGGGTCAGATGAGTGGGACAGGCCAATAGCATGGCCAAATTCATGGGCTGCCACAGCAAATAGATTGAAACCTTGAACAGGAAGAGAAGCCATGTGAGGGWTTGAGGTACCCATATAACCCAACCAAYACACATTGTGCACTTTCACAAGCAGAGAAGTGTCACAAGCAGAGAAGTGTTGGCAAATCCACCATTYTYATAGCAATCCGCCGAGCTGCAGGTGTGGTAGATGGCATTCAGATGGGTTTATTGCACAGTACGCCCAAGACACACCCATCATTAATTAAGAGTAAGTAAGTACAAATCTTTTGAAGCATGTGCCTGCTGCTGTGGCCTGTGTTTCATGGTGAGCTTTGGAGTCACCCAAACTATATTTCCAGGCTCTGTGCTTTACTCTCAGCAAAAAAAYAGGATATTTCMTGACATTTAACAAAAGACTAGACTTTAAAGAGAGATGTCTCTTTTGAGGTTCTTCACTCTTGTACCAGTAGAATTAAAGCTCCAGTCTTCTTCAGCATCAAAGTGCACATCCCCACCAATCCCAGAGCCAGGCAGAAAGGCATGAGCCAGGATTCCTCCTTTGCCATCAAAAGGTGAGCCATCCTCATGGTCTGCAACAAACAGTGCAAATTGTATGACATATGTCAGTGTCAGGATTGCTGTGTCAAGTTGTTTGTGTTGGGAGATCTCTTCAGATCTTACCACCATTGTGAAAGGAGATGACAATGTCAGCCTCTTTCCTGCTCCGTTTGCGAAATTTCATCAGTGCAACYCTGGACCAGAGTTTCCATGCTGCCCTGACGGCTTTGTGAACCTTAGAGGCTGAGATGGGAAGGTTGGAGTCAGCAAT